CCCCCCCCCCCCCCCCCCCCGAGATCGAAGACCGATTCCCGTTGCTACGCCGATATATCCAGAAATATCGAACTACTGCAGAGTTTATTTAGGACGGTCACGTACTTTGATGTTGAAAGGATTCCCTAGGAAGCCATTGTGGCTTATCTGCGATTACATTTACTATATTCGCTTGGAAACACCCGAAGAAAATCACGAAAACTATTTGTCATTATAGTCGGTGACTTGACAAAGATTCGAACCCAAGCCTCTAGAATAAAAGTCGTAAAAGTTGCCACTTGAAACAGCGTAGTTAAATGATCAATCATAAGCAGGGTCTCCTAGAAGCTTCGTTTAGTGTGTGAGCGCGTCTCCTTGCCAGTGATTGGCTCATTAATGTAGCGACGACCGCCTGTTTCAGTTGTGGCGTGCCGCCAAATGAAAACTGAGGCATTTGAAAAATTGCAGAAAGCCAGGGGCATTTTGAATGCAACATCCACATATTTCCTTACTTTTTACATTACATTTGTCAACTTCATGGTGTTGCATGTTAACTTTCAGTATGAAGAACTGTTTTTTGGAAAGAGAGAGAGAGAAAAGTAATTTTGATTTTTGGGGTTCATATAAATTAGGGGTTATATTGGACCAGTATGAACTAAAATTAAATACCCCCTAGCTTTTGGTGTTGGCTTGCGAGGTCCATTAGTTTCAGATATGAAACATGCAGATGTACAAATACAAGTTATTTCCTTTTTTTGCATTCATTTTATACATTTTTAGTAAATCTGCCACGAACCCAAATGTCAGAATGATGATCTAACTGCTGTAACAGCTGTTGATGTCGGCATCTGAATGTCAGTATGTTTTATACAAGCAGACAGTGCTTTGTTCAAGGTCACAACACAAGCAAAGGTTAGGTTCTCACATGTAGGACGTCATCACTTCTGAAATGTAACTCGACAAAGAAGGCTCATAGCTCACGTCGTATTCAGTTCAAACAAAACCTTCACACATTGAGACTTGATGGATTCACAGCCATCTTAAAATAAAAACTAAGACTTTTAATTATTATAATATTACTGCCGTAGTCCTTGTTAATGACGTTATGATTTCTCTGTATGAAATGTATATTGGGGATGTTGTGTCTCCCTCTTCAAATTTAGGTAAAGTTTGTTATTGGGGGGCCTGCCCCAAATGTTACAATGTTTGGTTTTGGTTCACTCTCCAGTACAACCCCCCACTTTACACGAATGAGGCTTAAATTGCAGTTTATCCATTTTATCGAACGTTTCTTATTACTTAGTGCGTCGTGAAATACGGACTTAACAGAAAGGGAAATAACGTCTTGACTCCATTTTTCTTGACTGGAGCACTGTCTGTTGTGCTAGCAAAAATTAATATGTTTTTCTACCCATAATTCTCGTAGTATGTACCTTAACGTTACTATCCAGCACACATCATCGCCAAGTTTTGATAATTGTCATTTTTATTTATGTTGTGAGCAGGTGATGATGGCCCTAGCATCACACCTGCAGATCGTTGAAGCCGAGAAACAAAAGCTGAGGACACAAGTTCGCCGCTTATGCCAGGAGAATGCCTGGCTGCGGGATGAGCTGGCTAACACGCAGCAGAAGTTGCAGGCGTCTGAACAGGCTGTCGCCCAGTTGGAGGAAGACAAGAAACATTTCGAGTTCATGGCATCAATGCGCAAATATGACCAGGATATTACGGTTAGTCGAGAGCCAATTGCGTGCCTCTGCTGCTTTTGATCCTTGTGCACGGTAGTTTTGGATTCAATGTGCGTGTTACGCCAATACTGGGAAGAATAATTATGCTCAACGGTTTGTGTTTGTGTGGAGAGGTGCTGAGAGAATGCATTGAGTACGCAGCAACTCACGTGACTAAATTATCTGAGCTCATGTGACTGACACAGTCACATGCGCGTCCAATAGTTGCAGTAGCCGAGGTTCGCTTCTGTGTTTTGAGACGTTCCAATGATTTTCAGGGAGACGATTCCTCAACGGAAACTAAGCAAGATAAACCAAAGCAGGATGATCCTGTAGTAGACCTGTTTCCAGATGATGATACAGAAGAAAGATCAAGTAGGTCACCAGAGTTTTATTGTTACTGAATTTATAGATATTTGTGTCGTAGCGTGAAATATCTGTCAAGACGTTACGCGCGTATTTTAGAGCCACTTGGCTCGTAACTTAATTGCCTGGTAATTACATGTACAGAAAATGTGTTGGGGTGTACATCGTCTTGAAGACAGTGTAAGAACACCACACTTTGGTTTTATTGCAGCAATGTCTCCGACACCTCCAAGTCAATTTGCCCAGCAAGTGAATGCCGGGTACGAGATTCCTGCCCGACTTCGAACTCTCCATAACTTAGTCATCCAGTACGCGTCTCAGGGGAGGTACGAAGTGGCCGTGCCACTTTGCAAGCAAGCACTCGAGGATCTAGAAAAGACGAGCGGTCATGACCACCCTGATGTTGCAACTATGCTGAACATCCTGGCTTTGGTATACAGGTGAGCTTCTGGACACTTGCAGTACTTTGAAATTGTTTCTTGACGTTTCCTGCATGGATGGATGATTAGAAGCTTCGGTAGTAATTACTCCATAGTGCAGGGTCTTTTATGAAAAGTTGATAGTTTTACTGCATTTTATAGAACAAAATAATACATAAAATTTGATTATTATTTTTTTATTATTTTTTTTATTTGCGCCATGTCCAGAACAAATATAAAGAAGCAGCAAATTTGCTAAATGATGCTCTGGCCATTCGAGAGAAGACACTGGGAGAAAATCACCCAGCAGTAAGTCGGTGGTTTTATTGCCTGTAACTTGTTAATACTAAGCACGGTGCCACATCATTTGCTTCAGTTCCGGAACCGTCTGATCATCCGCTGACATCGAGACATTCCTCAGGGGCTTCTCCCAGCCAGCTATAGTTCTATTCCTTTGTTTGGAAGTTTGTACTCTTGCGTTCATTCGTTATGTTACGTAAACAAACCAATTTTGTAAAAATATTGCATTTGGTATTGATATAAAAATACATTTATGAGTGGAATGTGCGCATAAAAGAAGTCAATAACAGAGTGACGTCGTTTTGAAATAGTATTATTTATGTTTACGATGACACAACATAAAACATTGTCTTAGGTGGCTGCTACCCTCAACAACCTTGCCGTTCTGTACGGCAAACGAGGAAAGTACAAGGAGGCAGAGCCACTTTGCAAGCGTGCTCTGGAGATTCGAGAGAAGGTCCTAGGGAAGGACCATCCTGACGTAGCCAAACAGCTTAACAACCTTGCACTCCTCTGCCAGAACCAGGTAATGCCCATTGTATGTACTTCGTAACATTTGGGCTAGGAGTGGAAGGAAGCATTAACATTTTAGGTTTCAGATGTTATCTGTGATTACCACGACATAATTACATATATAACAGCCAAGTTCCCTATTTTACAACGATAAAGTACTTCATTTCTTTATATCTGTACATACTTCAAAATAAAAAAAATTATGTATCTGTGTATGTCCTGCTACAGTCCGCAGGCACACGCGCAACTTCATAAGCTTCCCGAAGTATGTAATTACAAAGTAAATACTGTATTCACACATAGTGTGTCTCTGTGTCGTGCAGGGAAAATACGAGGAAGTCGAAAGGTACTACCAGCGGGCCTTGGAAATATACGAGTCAAAACTGGGACCCGATGATCCCAATGTAGCCAAGACGAAGAACAACTTGGCATCGTGTTACTTGAAACAGGGCAAGTACAAGGAGGCTGAGATCCTGTATAAACAGGTGCTGACACGCGCACATGAGCGAGAGTTTGGCACCATTGACGGTAAGTGACTGCCTGCCAACCCTTACATCATGTTTTATGTTCCATGTCCATCAAATTTCCTACCACATTCCACCATCTTTGTCGAAGAGTTTGCTGAAAATTCTTAACCTCACGAGCAGAGTTAAACGTTGTCAGCCTTCGAGTGCTGCAGGGTTGCATGTCATTCCAAATTGTTTTATAGCAGCTGAATTGCTTTCTGTAGAGTGCCCAAGAGACACGACAGAAATCTTTTAAATCTCTCTCATATGTGTCAGTTTGTCACAACAGAAAATAAGTTTCTGAGCGTTGGCCAGATTGGATTTTTTAATATTTTATGTTCTCAAGGACAGTATGAGATTCGACATTGCAAAGCCCGAGTTACTAGGCTCGTAAGACACATCGGTTGGTCAGAGGGTCGTACATGACACAGACAAGTGAAGCCTTGGTAGTAATCAAGAGTTGTCACAGTCTGGTTTCGGCGGTGAGCTTTCACTGTGCAGTCGGTTGAGATTCCTCGTATCACTACTACATCCAGAATGGAGCACGTGATATGGTGTGAGGCTGGTTGTCTGCCTCCGAGTAGTGTCTAGACTGTGAGTGTGTGGGGCTCTGTCTCCCATGTGCCTTCATGAGCTAGTACTTCCTTGTGGGAGAAAATGTTTTTATTGTGTACTCCCAAGTAACTGAAGTTTGATTGGGTGATTAATTTTTATGCACTTTAGCCAGATTTAAGATGCTGGGGAAAGAACTTAAAATTTTTTTAAAGATACCCATTACGGGTCTTGCACTGTACAAACTACCCTGAAGAAATTTGTCTTGAAGTTGTCATTTGTATTCAGTTCAGGATAGAATTTTATGGAATTTCTTCATGATGAGCTACCATTTAATTTCTCATACAAGGTCCTGTTAATCAGTCCTAGTATTTGTCCAGAGAGACGGAGGAAAAACCATCAAAAGCCTCGGTCGTTCGAGATTTAAACCGGGAAGAATTTGTGTGTTAATCACTGCACTGCTTTGTGCAGTAATGGATAACGTAAAAATTTGTTTACTTGAATAAAGTTAGGTTAGAGGTTGATTCTGCTTTCAGCATCGTCTTATTTCCTTTTAAATTTTTGAAAATAAATCTTCCATAGTCTGTAAAGATGTAAAATGTTTCACACAAGGTAAAGAAGGAGTCGAAAGAGTCAAGGTTTGTGCTCTGTTATGAATCGCTCGTTACTGGCAAAATATTTTGACTGTTGTAACAGATTTTTAAAGGATTTTTTGTGTTCTTAGGTTCTCTATGTACCCTTGAGTGGTACTACTGGGAACAATTGTGGATGATGTCATTAATTTAAGACAACGTTTAAATAATATTTATAGTCATTGTTAAATGGTGAGATTTATGTCTTCCTTCATAGTTGAAGAAATTATTAAACATTATGTGAATAGACGGATTGTGTATTATTGGAAGAAGTTTAAAATTTCTTTAAATTCTGTGATTGTTCCCATGCAAATTAAATTAATTGTAATGTGTGCATGGTACGAAGGGAATTTGTTTTGTAATCTACCAGAGTGTGAAGCAGTGACATATTTAAATAATATGTAGAGCCAAAATATGTCCTTGGTAATTATTTAAAAATGTTTGGTGGTGATGTGAATGATTTGTATTCTGCTGTAACATAGAATAATTGTAACGCATAATTGGCTTTCCATTTTTAGTTTGTTGAAGTCAGGAAAGCATCTGCATTTCTGTTATTTGTCATATAACACTTTTGCATGTTTGTTCTGATATTTGTAGATTTTGAGTTTCCTTATTTTGATAATGTTATAAACATAAGTTAATGTAATTTGGTCTAGGGGTTGTTTAGTTTTTGGTCAATATTTTTGTAGGTTTGTTTTTACATTATTTAATTTTGCTTTGAGTACCTCCTGCTTACCAAAGACTTTTGTTTGAAATGTTCAGCTTCGCTGTTTCATGTCCGTACAGTACTTACTTTAGTATAAACACTAATATATTATGAGTTACAAACTTTGTGACATTGAAAAGCAGAGTAACTAGTTGGTAATATTTGGCATTTTAGGATCTGTGGTTAATGTCTTCCTCAAAGTGTCTGTGATTTATATAAATTATTGTCTGAAGGTACGTTATAATAAGGCGTGGGAAGATGTAGCGTCAGAGGCTACTGCTTGCCCTCTGCCCTCACAGCGCGGTAGTGGCGCCAGTTTTCTCTTTTTGACGCGGGATTTGAAAGTCGTGAAATGGAATGATGAAGGCACTTGATCACGGGTTACTTTCTTTGCATAATTCTGGAGGGTCATTGCCCTGCATTTCTCAAGATGAAGCTCTCATGTGCCACAGTTCATGGGTTATGTTATTAGAAAGCGTCG